GCAGGGGGTGCCAGTCCATCACAGGGCATAGGGCAGGGGGTGCCAGTCCATCACAGGGCATAGGGCAGGGGGTGCCAGTCCATCACAGGGCATAGGGCAGGGGAGACCTTGCAGGGGGTGCTAGTCCATCACAGGACACATTCACACACCATGGCCAATTCAGAGATGACAACTCGTTTAACAGCATGTTTGTGACAAGTGTGAAGACACCCAAACAAACAGGGGAGAACTCCATGCAAACTCCATGCATACAGAGCCAGGAGTGGGAATCAAACCCACAACCCTCCCAACCTTCACAAATAAAGAAAACAAGACCCCTGACCTACATTTTTCTTTCTACCATCCAATCCTGACTTCAGTACTACCACTGACCAATTACTGGACATGACATGTTGCACTTTGAAAACAGATTCAAAAAGGAACCTGAGCAAACGGAAAGCAGCAAAAGCCTCTGAGTCAGGCTTTGAGGGCGTGTGACATCACAGCTGGCTTTAGCAGAAATGTCATTATGCTGGCATCTTAATTCTGCATCTTGTGTCCTTGGATGGGCTTAAAAGCAAGTCTACATGCAGCACCTAGTGTCAAGATGGGGGTCAGACCCGCAGCCTTGCCACACCACACTCACAGCAGAACTTGGCCCTTTCCACTGGGTATTTTGCCCCACACTCGTGGCAGAACTTAGACCACTGCCTTCGAGACCCATCCTGGTCCTCTAAGTCAGGTGGAACTTCATTTCTGGAATAAACAAATGAAACATACAATCTCTCTTTAGAATATATCTGAGACAAGTAAATGTTGATACATCTTCTTCCCTTCACTGTGACATTATTAAGAGGAAGAACAGCAGAATCGTCACATATGACATTTACATATGAAGGAGAATAGTGTTCAGAAAAGAATTTGCTAGTGATGGGCAAAATGAAGCCTCATGAACCATTTGCTGTATTTTTTGACCCCACTAGATGGCGCTCGGTTTACGCTAGGGTATGCTTTATGCCCTTTTTATTGAACAAAGAGCACCATCTAGTGGGGTCAAAATATACAGCAAATTATTCATGAAGCGTCATTTTGTCCATCAGTAGAATTTGCACCTTTTTAAAGCACTGTGCAAAAGTCTTGGGCTACAAAAGAAAATGATGTTCAAAGGATCTTCATGTTGGTATTGAAGTATGATATTATGCCCGTCAAAGTGTGCCAGCCTAGTCATTACAAAACCTCTCCTAAAGTCACCACAGTATTCGCAGCAACCATCCCAATATACCCAAGTATCTTTTTACTTGACCACTAACACACCTCCTATGGCTAATTATTACCTCATTGACTTTTGTTAACTAATTAAAATAATGAATTAAGTAGCAAGGCTGAGGTGCCCCTGAGGAGAGGTTTGGGAACTGAAGCAGGGTTCATCTAGCCACCCAACTAGATATCAGTAACTTTTTGGAGAACAGAACAAATTCTTGTTCATTTTCATTGTGTTACTCTTAGTTTGCATATGTTCAAGTGTTAAATTGTGTTTTTTGTTTTGAGCAAATATACACTTACTACCCAGATAAAAAACATTAAACATTTTCTTTGATGGCCTAAGGCTTCTGCGCAGTACTGTAATTCATGACTTTCTGCAAATTTTTTCAAAGGATAAGACACTGAATTTCCAGAACAGGAGCCAAGCTGCTGAGTTGCAGGACTGTACCTCAAGGAATTGTTGTCCGCATAATGCACTCTCCTGCTGTTAGTTCCAATCCCAGGTGTGGTCCTCAGCGAGCCGGGAGAACACGGTGGCCTGGATTTTAAACCAAAACTAAACCACAAATTTGCAGAAAGGCAAACAAAATGACACTGTTCTTCCTAACCACAGTGTGAGCTTGAACAACACCCTGATTTTGTGGAAACTGTACACTAATGCAAAGAATACACCTTGGAATGGTCAGCTAAATAAGACCTGTGCTATTTTGGGCTGCCACTAATGACTATTTTTCAATGGATTAATCTATTTTACCGATTGGTCGATTAATCTAAACAATTACTTTTCCTCCAGAAAATCAAATTGACCATTTAAGTTGCAGTTTATTGCTGTCAAATAAAATTGTGTCATTGCCGGGGTTTAGATTATGGACGGCAGCTTTTTCCCGCTATACTAATGTTATTTTCACCCACAGTTCAATTAAGCAGATTAGTAGTATGCCTAAAATATTAATGAGATGGGTATTGTGATGCCCAAAAGTTAGTAATGATGTAAATTATGACAGAATTGCAGATAATATAATTACTGGACTTCTTAGTACAAACCCTCATTCATAAGAAGTAATACTGTTTAATATTTCATGTTTATGTATTTTTATGACTGGATATTTACTGAAGCAGTGGAGGTGAACTGATGGGGTTGAATGTACGATATCAAAGCCCCTTCTTGCCAATCGAGCTTCTCAGTCCTTTACCCAGAATGCCCCCTGCATCCGTCCTGCCTGCCACACTGGGGGCCCCAGCAGCCAGGTGTCGCCATGGTAGCAGAGCAGGTAAGAAAGGAGCCTCACCCAGGCGGGAACTCCGCTGCGCCAGAGGGACCGAAACGAGATGGCGGGGAAGCTGAGGGGGCATTCCTGATGAGACCAGCAGAGGGCGCTCTGTTGGGGGGTTTCCCTGCACAGGAACACACATGGCCATTCAGCACCACGTTAAAATATAACTGGCATAAGTGGGGTTTTTTTTGTTTTTTTTTTTACTCGCTTCAAGTAATTTATGTTCTTATGTTCTTAACTAATACATTAATTGAAAGGCAAATTTCCAAAAGGCACTTAGTCTACGGGAAACGTCATCAAGAAAACTTCTGTGTATTTAGGGAATTTAGGAAAAGTTTGTCTTTGGAATACAAGTGAGCTTTAGTTTCCACCACTGTATATGATGACAAAGCCTGACTTTATGTTCTTCAATTGATGAAATGTGATTCAGGCAGCCCATAGAATAAGGTCATCATTGTACTGTAGACAATCAAGATTAAAATGAGATCCAGCTAAATTGGGGCTCAAAAAAGGAGTGTTTTCTCTAAGCTGAACTGAAACCAGCATTTATTCTAGGACTTTCCATAAGCAACAGTTCAATACCTCCGCCATATTGTCCTTGCAGAGATCTCTGAGGGAGCCGTGAGGATGGAGATGTTACAGAGGCCGCTGCAGGGCCGTCCCTCTTCGCCAGCGGAGGCTTGTACTGTCAACAAAACCACCACCCTTCTAAAGGACACGTGCGACTGCTGAGGCGCTGCTGTCCAGCAAACACAGCAGAAGGAAGTAGGTGAGGAAGGAGTTCATTTATACCGAATCTGTGCCTCACCGAAAGAAAACAAAGATGTTCAAACATCAATAATGGGCCTGCCCATTAATGCCCATAGCCAGACTGTTTCAGAGCCTTGGGGCAACAACATTAAAGACTCTTCACAGCCCTTCTTTTCAACTTAGACCGGGGGGGGGGGGGGGGGAAAAAAAAAGGAGGGAGGGTGGTGGTTTTTTTTTTTTTTTTTTTTTTTTTTTTAAAAAAAAACCCCCCCCCCGGGGGGGGGGGGGGGGGTAACAAGAAGGTCCTTCTCAGAAGACCCGAGTGTCCGGTTTGCTGAATATGGAGTCAAAAGGTCATGGATATACATGGGCGTGTGACTGTTAGGAGCCTTTTAAAGTCAATAATAATAGCAATGGTCAAAATGACACCTTATGAACCATTTGCTGTATTTTTGACTGCACTAGATGGTGCTCTTAGTTTACTTTGGGGGCAGGCTTGCTGCCTTTTTGTTTTATTTTTTAACAAAGAGCACCACCTAGTGGTACCCAAAAATACAGCAAATGATTCATTCACTCATGCAAGTGTAACATTGTTCACCATTCAATAATAATCATCATCATCATCATCATCATCATCATCATCATCATCATATAGTGCTTTGCATTCATGGAATGCAGCTCAAAGTGCTTTAGATATGAGATTACAGTAAAACTAAAGACAGAAGCAGGTGATGTAGAGGTAATGTACAGGTAATGTACAGGTAATGTACAGGTAATGTACAGGTAATGTACAGGTGATGTACAGCTCAATCAAATAATAGCAAGACGGAATAAAGCTAAGTAATATAAATAAACGAGAGTGAATAAACGCTAAATAAATAAAGAAACTATTATAAATATAAACCATATAAAAATATAAAGGAATAAAGGGGTTAAAGTTATAAAAGTATAAGCTAGTGGAAACTAGTAATCCTAAACAAAACCTAACCTGTATTTTACTGGGAGACAGTGTAGAGAAGCCCAAACAGGTAGGATGTGGGTTCTATACCAGCTTCTGCTCAATAATCTAGCTGCAGCATTTTCTTTGGTTTCTTTAGTGCGGAAAGTGAGAGACAGGTGCAGAGAGAATTACAATAATCAAAACGAGATCAAATGAAAATGTGAAAGCGGCGGCGATTTACCAGGGACCTGGCCGGAAGCTTTGCCTTTCCCTCCCCGGCAATCTTCCCCTTGTTGGGGATGCGGGCGGCCTGCTCTTTGCAGAAGGCGATGTGCCGATCGGCAGCGCTCTGGCCAAACCTCCGCCGGCAGTAGGGACACTGGATGTAGTCTGGAATGGGAGGTGAAGCATCGTGAACCTCTGCTCCGTCACGAACTCCATTATCTATATCAGCGTTTCCCAATCCCATCCATGGGAACCCATAGTCAGTACGCGATTTTGCTTGGGAGCTGAGAGAGAGCAAAAACAGAAGATCGACCACGGGTCCCTGAGGTACGGACTGGAAACACTGATCTATATTCTTTTCTACATGATTTTTGATTAGTGACAAATGGGCAGGATGGTCGGGAGTCTTCACCTGGGTCATAGGAGGGCGGGGGTGGGGGCAGGAGGGGGCCCCCTTCTTTCACGGCTTGGGTCACGCCTTTGGCGGCTCGGAGGGTGGTGAGGAACTCCTCGTGTTTCCTTCGCCAGTTTGACGGCTTTTTGGGTGGTTCGGGCTTTGTTTTTTTTTTTTTTCGCAGATTCATGGGAGCAGAATCAATGTTGCATCACCAAGTAGTGTGAGGATATCTCAAAAAAACAGCAGACTGCAGAATTTTAAACATAAACTTTCCCCCTCGAGTTCTACTGCAACTTTTTCAAGTGGAATAAATTCACTCTTAGTGGAGAAATGTTAAAACCTTTGGATAAGAGCTTTTTAAAAAAGTGAAAAATATTTTTTCCAAGTAATACTTAACGATATAAATATTTCTGTGTTTTATCCATGTTTTTTTTTTTTTGTAAAACATGGAAATATGAATGCATTTTACAGTTTGAAAGAAAGGTGTTTAATGAGTACAGAACATTAATAATACATAATAATATATAATATATAACACATGGTGTGAAACCTATCACCTCTGTGTAAATACTTTCATGAGAAAGTGGTCACGGAGACTCACCTTTGGTTTCAAAGGCTTTATGGTGGGAATATCGGTCCCTTCCGCCCTCTGTCTACTGGAGTTGAACGTCTTCCGTTTCTTTGCTGCATTCTTTTGGCAGATGGGGACATGCTTCTTCTACAAGTGGGACATAGTTTGTTCTTAGTGAGGAATGACTGTCAGGAAACTCAGCAAGCAGAGGCATAGCTAGAAATGCTGTCGTCCCCCCCCCCCCAAACAGCTTGGGCCCTCTGCTAGGATTGGCACTTTCAGTCCATAGAAGTGCGAGTGCCACAGTAGACAGGATTTGCCGAGGAGGAGGGGGTCTCCCTCTATAGGGGGGACAGGTCGATTTTGGGGCCCCAACTCAGCCATATGCTCTGTGGCGACCGGCTTTCCCATGCTGTCTTCCATGCAGCCCCCATTTTCTTTATAACCTGTATTTTCTTAACCCAATAAAAATCCCACACCCATTACAGCTCAGTCTTGAGATGTGTGAATGCCTTACCACACCCTAAGGTTGTGGTTGAAGTTTACACGTGGGCGCACCTACACTCAAACCGGAATATCTTCTTTAAACATGTGTTTGCATTGCAGCCATTCTGTACTGAAGTTCCGCTACAATAATGACAGACGATCGAATTTTCATTCACTTTTAATGTGAAATGCTTGCAAGCAATGAGCTTTCGCTCTTTATTTAAATCCTCATCCTTTATGTGCAGCCTTCCTTCCGTCATATTGCAGAGTAATCATTCGGATTTTTTTTTCTTTATTCGATCCTATTAAATAATCGAATTTAATCGAGTAATCATGACTGTTCTAGTATAACCACTACGATAGCTTTTGGAAAAGAAGTTACTTTACATAACAGTCATATCATGTTATTTTGCTGTTCTACCCTTAAGATGTAAATAACACTGGATCGTTCTTATATTAATACGCCGTTACGCAAATATTTTGATAATGCATGCCAGTATTTTTGTCATTTAGTGTTTGTCTGTGTTATCCCGCATACACATTAACTCATTTTCGTCATTCCAAAAGACACTTCTTCACTACAACACGACATACCGCGGCAAACGCAAAGCCACAGTTTATAGCGAATACGATACAATGTCGCTCAAACTGAGCATTGATTTCAGTCTCAGTCGCGCTAAGAAACTGAGAGATGTGACTATGGTCAGAAAAAAGCGGCCCACTAACCAGGACTCCGGGGAAAAACGTCCTCCCACACACCTTGCAAGGCTTCAGCTCCTTGCAGGGGGGTGGAGTTTCTAAAACTGCCGAAATCAATGTCACAAATTATAAAGCCGGGTTTTCCCGGTGACATTCACCAGGTCAGTCACCCGACGGACATTAGTTTTTACAGTTAGATTAAACATTATCTATACAAAATGCATAGATTACTTACAGTAATAATAGTCACATATAGATGCCTCACACTGGATTTCCATTTTCTTATTTTATTGTATTAATTATATATATAAGAAAATGAAAATACAGTGTGAGGCATCAATTTGCTATAATGAACATACGTGCAGTATTTTGTAAACGTAACCGATCACTATTCAACAATCTATAGATGGTATCAGTGACAGACTAGACTGCAGCTACAGCATATAATACCTAAATTTAAAAAAAAAGTCAATTTCTCACCCCCAGTCTCCTCCATCTTTCCTTCATATACACCCTGAGATGCGGCTACAGCTCGTCTCCAAAGCCGCTTCACAGTCCAGTATAAACCTATTTCATTGGCTCTCTTCCTGGTCAAGCCAGGACGAAGCGAAGGTCATTCTCTCTTTTCAAAGGGGGGTAAGCTGTACTAACAGCACGCAGCTATCTTAAAATTCTTCTAGCAAAAAATCATTAATTCAAGCTTGAATGCCATCTTCAGAGAATGAACATTTTTAACAAATAGCCTATATCTAACATGACCTAACCAGCACACGCGGTTAGAGGATGCATGCATATTTTAGTGTTTCAAGGAAAAATATGGAACTATTGTAAACCTTCTCAACGTTTATGACTGTGAAATCCCAAGAAAGAGTTTTTTTTTTTTACCTGCACACCACTGAAACCAAAGTTAACTTTGAAAAAACAAAAACTAAAAAAAAAATTAAAAATCTCTTGTATCGTACTTCCACACCAATGCAAGGTGGACACGATGAAAACAGCGGATGGTCTTCAAAATGTTATGAATATTTATTAGGAAGAAGTAGATAAAATAATTCAGTGACGTTCTGCTTCTATAAAGGCAACCTGCAGTGTAGTCATTACGGATATGAACCAAATGACTGCGAGGAAACCGTTTTAAGAGTAAGACATTTCGTTAATTAATGGGCGTCGTTTGGTCCGATCAGTATAGCCCCGAGTATTTTGTCACCGTTGCCAGTCATCCTTAAAAAAAGAAAAAAAATCAAGTCCCATGTAAGCTTGACTTGGCCTCTGATTTTTTCAATGGCTAGAGACGCCCCTAGTGTTATTGAAATACCCTTCAGCAAGGTGCTTAACTAGAATCTCCTAGTATAATATCCATCCATTTTTCGTGGGTGTGACTGAAGAAACGAAACGGGCTTTCTATTGTTATTCAGCTGTTATTGCAAAACTTTAGGTACGTGTAATACGTGTAATACGATTGTTTCGCTTTTGCCAGTTTGTCAAATAGTAATGAAACTAAATTTCTCAATTTGCGCATCTATTTCAAGTGACTGGAGAAACGAATAGTCTTTTATTAGTTCAAATAGCCTAATGTGGCGCTAGCAGAAGGGGTACGGGTTTACGGAAAGGAAAAAAAAAAAAAAAACATGATTACAAAAATAATAATGTATAATAAAAGTCTCCTCTACCTAGCTACCGTGGGAAAATACTGTAGAGGGAGATGACGTCATTGTGACAGGGAAATGGCTGATGCTGGAAGCTGTGCCCTGGCGCATCGTATAGCCGGAAGGAGCGCACGTTTGTTGTAGGTTTCCTCTTCCAGAAAACACGTTCAATATGATGCATTAACCAGGCTGTCATCATAGCATGAAGGTAGGTCATGCATAATGTACTCCAAATCCGGCAAAAGCGTTTTGATTGGATCGCAGCCTCTAGCGAGTAATGGTGGTATGAGACAGGGTCTTTGGCACAAACAAAAAAGCATGTATGGGACGACGGTTTTATTCTCTACAAAAATCTCATTACCATGTTTTAAAAATACAGCTTCCGAACCGATGAATGCATAGACGATTATAGCAGGTAAGATTCCAATTTAAAATACAGTAGGTTCCGCAGCGTATCGTCGGGTAATGGTGATAGGATGCACATTGTACTGTACTGTATTGTTTCCTATTGTTTCCTAGGCTACTGGTAAATGACCCGATCATCAAACACGTTACAAACTAATCCAGTTTTGTAGATGATAGTTGTATTATAAGCCCCATCTCCGTAGCTGTGCATCACATCGGTTCGCTATTGTTTCCGAAACCTTTTATTGACGGTACCACCGCATCTGGAACAAAGCGCTGTGTCCGGGCCCACAAGAACACAACGTTTACGCCATTTGGAGAACATTTCTTGGGGGGTTTTACATTACCATCTTCTGCTGTTTTGTAAATTTCCTCAGCATGTTGCACTGGGTCAAATCTAAACGCATATCATGTATCACATGCGTGTCGCCTTTACAACAAATACACAACAAATACGCCCGAATTATATTTAAATTAAAAGTAAGGAATTGATCCATGCGCTGAACTGTTTAAGTGGTGACACAGCAGCGTCGTTGTTTAAAGTAAATGCAGTTTCTGGTTCCAAGTAGCATTCGCACAGAAAAATCCAACAAAAATGCAATACACAAAATCATGTGTCTAACCACAAAATTGCGATTAATTATATTTCATTATAATAACATACTGCCATTACCCTTATCTTAAACAGGGGCTCTATGGTACATTAATTTGTATCGTAAATCATTTTATGGAATCGTAAGAAAGTGACTTTAACCAATGCTCCATTTAATGTGGGTTATGTACAAGTTCATATTTCGGTATATTCATATGAATGATTTAGCAGATAAGCCCGGTCACCCCAGTGATTAATTTTGTACGATCTTATGTATTTCATTTAACTGGCACGAATGTAACAAGCTGAATTTCGTTGAACCTCCGAACATGTCTATAAACGTCTCGGGCTTTCCCGGCCCGTGCTCGGACGAGCCGTGATTGCTGTGACACTCTGTGCATATTTCACTTGTTGAATTATTTAATAAGTGACAGTCAACTGTCGGTTTATTTTGAGCAAACAAAACCGCCCATCTGTTCTTGCGGTCCGGGCAGGCTGCCTAATGTGGCCGTGTGAATGCTCACAGCGTAGCTGTGGCCATGCTCATTGTATCAGCTGTGAGCAGCTCCGTGAAGGAGCCCAGTCTCTCTCCCGCTCATCTCGGTATAAGGAGCCCACTTGTGCACTAGAGGGCAGAACCTCTCAAATCTGATGCACATCACAGTAAGCATGTCCAGGTTCTGGTGTACTTCCGGGCCACCAAAGCCATCAAAGAACATACTACTAAGCCCATTTCTTAAACCCAAGATGTCAGCATTTTCTGTAGCTTGGTGCATCCAGGATACAGCTCTGTCTTGCTCAGCCTGTATAACCACAAAGCTCTTAATGCACTTCCAGTGCTGAGCCTGTTTGACTTCAGTCCCTGTCTTGCTCTTGGATTAATATTTTGACTCAGCCACTCATTGGTCACTCCCAGTTAAGCCCTAGAGGATATAGGGTGGCCCAAATTTAAAAAAAATGGTTCCTTCCCTAGTGTTTTTCATTTAGAGACCTGTGGGGCACTTCAGGGGACTTGCTTATCATATCATTCTCTAGTTTTTCTTACAAGATTCAAGTCTATGTTTAGCAAATAGAAGCCTACTGATTGCGAGTAGAGCAGCAGTGATAAGAAGATGAATTAATGGTTCAAGTCGTAGTTCAAGTCAAATTTCTGTTGTACCATTCGATCAGAGTCCTCAACCTAGATATATGAAGGTTAAAAACCTGATATAGATTTGTAAGCAGTGTATCTTTCTCTGAAAGAAGAACTATTACTATTAGTTTAATATTTAAAAAATTCTATATTTTATAATTGATTAATCAAAAATTAATCTTGTACTCAACTAATTGTTTGTGTCATATCTCTGCCCATCTCCCTGTCATGGCCTTTACAAGCCACGCCTATCCCGCTCATCTCGCCTCTCCTTCCTGGAAATCACTCCCAGCTGCCTCTCATTAGCTCCCTCATTAGGCCCATATATATGTGCTTCCCAGTCCTTTGTTCCTAAGTCCAGTCATTAATGTCAAGCCTTCCCGTTGCCGGTGTCTTTCCTTTCCAGTCCGCCCATTTTGGAATCCCTCGTGCTCCTGTTTGTTTCCAGACTATATTCATTAAGATCAATAAACCCCCTTTGTTTCGCCCCAACACCTGCCCTCAAGTCCTTCACCCCTCAAGTTGTGTTAGTTTATTTAGTTAATTAATTAAACATTACAACCCTGTAATGTATAACTTTTAGAAGAGGGATGGATTAAAGTGGAGTGCACTAACTTTATACTGTATGACCTAAAACAAGTCAAAACTTTACTATTCAGCAGAATGAAAAACAGTCAATGCTTCAGGAATGTTACTGAAGACAAGTGCTTAAAAATAAGAAACTAGAACCAATCAGCTACATCTCAAGAGTCCAGGAAAGTTTCAGTTTCTGTAGGACAATGATGTTAATTGGCGTGATCAAATCCATCCACCTCTATTACTGTGCTCCTAATGCAGTAATGAGAACTGGGAAACTATCTGTTGGCCTTCCAAGACTGTAATTGAATAACCCTGTGATAAACAATCTTCTGGTGCCATTGACACAAAACTAACATTTCATGCTGTCCATCTGAACCTGTGCAGCAGGCCCTGCTATGGTGAAATGTGGCAGCGATGACTGATGTTGAATCAACATATGCAGACTTCATAGCCTCAGGAAGAACTGGGCGACGGAACGCACTACACAACATCCTGGGGAACTCCAGCGATCTGGACTCCAGAGAATTGTCCCTGAAGTTAACAGAGCTTGAGATCAATAAAGCAAGTGAGTCCTTCGTCATTTCTGTCACATTGGGGCTCACAATTCAATAAAGGCAGTTCATTCAAACCTTCCCTCCATTTTCATTTGTCTCATTTTAGAGTAAATTCCCTAAATGTAAATCAAAAGTCATATTTTAAGATATGATAAATCAGCTTTCTAGCCAGAAATGATCATGTCATGTGATTTTGGTAGGTTGATTGGAGTTACCAAATTGCCCAAAGGTGTGCATGTGTGAGTGAATGTGGTGTGGGTGAATGTGATGTGAATGTGGTGTGGGTGAATGTG